CTAACTAACACACAGTTACCTTCATAGAGGGAGGGAGGGGGCAGCCCGCACCGTGCTATCCGCTCTGTGTCTGCTGCTCCATTCATTATCACCGCCAGAATATGGGTATAGAATATATATAATATATATAATGTGTGTGTGTGTGTGTGTGTGTGTATAGGGGGATCTACTAAATGGAATGCCCATAGACAATAATGGGACAGAATGGAATGCCCATAGACAATAATGGGACAGAATGGAATGCCCATAGACAATAATGGGACAGAATGGAATGCCCATAGACAATAATGGAAACAAAATATTTGAAAAATATATGTGTGTGTAATGTTTGTGTTTACAGTCTAGCTCTGTGGCTATCCTTTGTACAGCGGTGTATTTCCTTTGCAATTCCACATTTTTTGCCAGTAACAGCTGTGGGGCCAACTCTGGACAGCGTCTAAGGTGGAGTAGGGAAGGCAAACAAATTCCTCTACCTGCAGTTGCCTTTTTATGGGAATTGTTTGCCTGGTATTCGTTGTGTGCTTGACTGGCAGAGGTCCATAGGGATTGCAATTGGCTAACAGCTGGAGGGCTGCTGATTGCATACCCCCTGATCTAGAGTTTGCCCGGTGTATTTACGAGTGCAGGCATAGGCAACCTTCGCCACTCCAGATGTTGTGGACTGCAACTCCCTTGATGCTTTGTCGGCATTATGGGTGATGTAGTCCACAACATCTGAAGTGCCGAAGGTGGCCTATCCCTGTGCTAGTACATACTTAAAACTAATATATCTTCTATTGTGCATGTGAAGACTGGGAATCCATGTATTTATAGACTGTCTGCAAGCTGCTTCTAATCTATTTTTGAGTTGCATGTATATTGTCTTGTTAAAAGTGTACATTAGCTAGGTGAGTTTTTTACCATTCCATCCTTTATTTTTTTTATGGCTACCTGATGTAAATCCTCAATAGAATGTACTATTGACTATTTAAAATAAAATCAACGTTGTGCATTGCTCAGAATCTTAAATAACCTACACGTGAACGAAATGGTAAATAATAAAATACACAAAAATACATTTTTACCATATTCAAAACTCGTTTACTGTCGGAGGTATTTGCTATGACATGCACTTTTGCTAAATGCGTTAAAATCCGATCTCTCTTTTTGGGAGTAGGAGCTCATAATGCGTTTTAGCACATATTCAAAAACCATAGTGCACACAATAGATTTGATGTTTTGTCTAGAACAGTAATGACTATCCATGGCATTCCAGATGTTTGTTTGAGGCGCATCATAGGAAATGTTAACAAGCATCAGTGTTGCCAAACGTAGCCAAGTAAACCACTGGTTAAAGTACCACTGAAGTCAACTATGCCACTTGATCTCAATGAAGTGGCCTAGCTGCAGTGGTTCTGTCCTTGTAAAACTGCTATGTTTACATTCAGGCTTCCCCAAACTCCGGCCCTTCAGATGTTGCTGAACTACAACTCCCATGATTCTCAGCCTGCCTATTTAATTCATATACAAACACAAAGATAAAGCACCGCGCTTACAGCAGCAGT